TTTATGCATACACTCAACAAATATTTTTTGAGAACATTGTGCTAGGAATAGCAATATACAAGGTAGACAAGAACAGACAAAATTTCTAACTTCAGAATCTAGCAGAGTATCCTAGTTGACCAAGGAGGGCTCCCTAAAGAAAGTGTTATTTGGGACTGAGATCTGACTAAGGAGTAGGAACTACTTTATATAAATCTGATCACATATGTCACTCTTCTGCCTAGAACCCTCCAGCACCTTACATAGTGAAGTCCAAGCTTCTGACTTTGTTCTTTTTATTTTTTTTTATTTAATTATTTTTCAAGTACAGTTTTTTTGTCTTCTACTCCCATCCCAGCCCATGCCCCCATGCTCCCCACCTCCATCCCATTTCCACCCCCCTTAGTTGTTGTCCATGTGTTAAGTCCCTTTTCTGCAATTTCTCCCACTCACATTTTCACATGCTTCGTTTTCCTTTGTCATTCTGTCATTAGCTTAAATATCACCTATCAAACTTTCAATTTAAAGAAATAGATCTTTGCCCAACTTATTTCTGACTTTTTTACAAGTGTTATTTTTGAAATTACTCATTTATTTCCTTATCACCTATGTCTCTCAGAAGAATACAAACTTGATGAGAGAATAATCTTCTTCAATTTTGTTCTTCACTCTGTTTAAACCACCAAGAAGAGTACCCAGCACACAGAAAGTTCTTACTAAATATTCCTTCAATGAATGAATACTGTTTGAATTGAGCATATCTGTATGTGAATTACAGCACCTTTGCTTTGGAATTATTTTAACTTTCAAAAATTTGAGTTGATCTTAATTTAAACATTTCAAAAGGAAGAACATTTCATATATTTAACACAACCAAGGCAATATAGGTTGTGCTGTTTCTTATTCTTAATGTCTTTGCACAGCATGAAAGGTTTAGATACAAGTGAGTTGAATTTTTGTTCTTATTTTAACACTGATTCTCACAGTGCCAGAGTTAAGACAAACTTGATTTTCTGGAAACAGTTGCCTATTTTTGGTCCCTTGATCAAGCAAACCAGCATCACTTGGCATCCTTACAAAAATCTTTCCTGTGTCTGTGGGCTCTAAAGTATGTGGTGGGAGAGACCAGCAACTATTCATTCAGACACTGGCATATCGTTTGATGAAATTGTTAGCAGAATGGTCAAAGGAGAAACAATTTAGGGATCAAATGAGAGGGGCAAATAAAATTTTATTTGGTTTTCCTTTTCTTTCTATAGGCTCAGTGCAAAACTATGATTTTTGACTGCTTTAGGAACACAATAAATTAGCAAATTTTTTTTGTTATCAGCAGCATTAAAGGTCTGTCTAAAAGTATAAGCATGCTGTTTTAGACTGATGGTTGCTGGAGGAGAAGCAGGGTTGGGGGACTGGGTGAAAAAGGGGTTGTGGTGTACAGATTGGTAGTTACAAAATAGTCATAGGGATGTAGGGTACAGCATACGGAATATAGTCAATAATATTGTAGCAACTGTGTGTGGTGTCAGGTGAGTACTTAGAGTATTGGGGTGACCACTTTCTAAAGTATATGATTGTCTAACCACTATGCGGTGTACCTGAAACTAATACAAAATAATATTGAATGTAAAAAGGGGGAAGGGATGTCAGGACCATATATAAAGGACTCATGGACAAAGCCAAAGGGAGGAAGATCAAGGGTAGGAAGTGGGGATGGATGGGGCTGGGGGAGAGTTCTGGTGCACAGTGATGGAGAAAACTGTACTTGAACAACAATAAAAATGTGAAAAAAATAATAAATAAAAATAAAAAATAAAATAAAACAATGTAATTGAAAAATTTTAAAAAGTACTTTGTTTTAATGAAGAGCCACCAGGTTTGGTACAGAATATGAATGTGTTAACTTAAAGTTAACCAAATATTGCCCTGACCAGTGTGGCTCAGTTGGTTGGACATCATTCTGCAAAGGGAAAGTTCACTATTTCTATTCTGGGTCAGAGTGTATATGTAGGTTGTGGGCCAGCACATATGAGAGGCAACAGTTCAATGTTTCTCTCTCGCATGGATGTTTCTCTCCCTCTTTTTCTTCCTCCCTTTCTTTCTCTCTAAAAATAAATATATAAAATATTTTTTAAAAAGTTAACTGAATATCTACCAACTAAATTTTTAACTGGCAATCATAGACTATCAAGTGCTTTGTAAGTATTTATGTGTATTTTTTTCTTAAGGCCAGGCGTGGAAAGAACTTCACCTTGTGGAGCTCTCCTGGCCACTGCAGATGAGAAATAAATGGTCCTGGACACAATCTTGTTCCCTCGGGAAAGGGGGTGGCAATTCCCCCCAGTGGAGAACGCCCCAAGCCCTTCTCCCAAATGGCTTTTATTGGGAATGGCATGTGCAGGCATACACAGCATACACGCATAGCTCATCAATCAATGTCAAAGGGCTATAGTCATACAAAAACAGGTATTATCTATAGATAACAATTGCAGGAACACAGAGATCTGTCATAGGTCAGCATCTGTGAAACATGCTGACGCCAGACAAAGGGTCTTTAAGATGTGTTTAATGAGATAAGAAGTTTACACCTTATGCCTTGAACTTAAACATCAGGTTTATATCAACAGGGCTATTCTAGCTAGAGCAAGCTTCAAAGGATAAACGTACATTTCAGGCCTGATTCCCATGGGACGCCTCAGCATTAGAGTCTGGTTATGCCTGCCACCTGCATTACCTGCTTTTCCAGGGAGAGATTCACTAGCCCCTTGCAGAGTTTGCTCTCATGGGGCTACAGTCTCTGAAACCACACAGAGCGATCTCCAACAGCCAGGACTCAGTTCCAAAAAGTTTTAACATACCTTAATGACAAAGGAATTGGACATTCAGAGATTTGAGGTTAAAACCCCAAACCACCTCACATAATCAAACAAGTTCTGTGAAATATTACAGTTATTCTTAAAATTCATGGAGATTTTGTTTTGTCAACCACAAAATTCCCATCTGGAGTCTCAATAACTAATTCCCTAAATCTATGAGTAAGATTATGGTTCAGGGAAATATGATGCCTAATCACCAGTCTAAGTCCTCAGCAATTTGAGAGGTAGGATTTAGGTATTGGTAAAATATCAAACTATCACAGAATATTGGAAATGAAAGAAAACTTAGAGAATATGGGCCCACTTTTTTGGTTTAGAGAGAGTAAATAATAGTCCAGCAAAGTACCCTAGAATTTATTAGCACCAGCGATTGCCCTTGAATTCTGACTTCCTGTCACACACTCTGGTCAGCCTCTTACTAGCCCTACATAGATTTGCCACTCCTTGTTACTAAACTGCAGTTGAATAGAACCTCATATTTCTGGGCACTTTATTTAATAACAAAACAATATAGAATAATCAACACATCTTATTATGATAGATTTCAAGAGATGGAAGCTCCTATTAAATAATCTTCTGAATACTTTGTACCTTTCTATAATAATATATTAGGACAACACTAAGATGGCACAAGATAAAAGTTGCAAAAGTGAGTGGGCTGTGGAAAATAAATAAAAATATTAAAGACTCTCCAGCCCTGAACATTTTACATGCTGAATCTATATCTTTGCTGGAAAGCCACGGTGAGTCTCTGCATTACTGCCGTCTATTCCAAGTACCTCAGTAGTCAACATGGTCAGAGATGTGCTCTTAGAAGCATGGTTACAGACATAAAGTACATTGTATTTGACTTATTTAGTTTTAAAATTCTTACTGGATGATGTGTTAAACCCATTCTCACAATTAAATTTAAACAAAGGTTTTGACCATTTAAAATTATTTTATTTTTTTCTTTAAAACAACTACAACAAAGACATATGGTTCAAAATGAGAGAATCAACTATATAAAAACAGATGGAAACCAATGTCACCTCAATAAATTAAAAAAACAGATGGAGGTGGTTTTATTGGAAGATGGATTAAAACTTAAGAAATTTCTTTATATATATTTTTTTCATTCTACTTTGGACCAAATGTTGTATATTCAGTAAGTTAGCAAGAAGAGGATTTATTTCCACCACCCCTGCCCCCCACCTGAAACACATACTCATATTTACAGATACCAGATTGTTGCTTTTATAATCTTGGAAGCCTGACCAAAGACCAGAGACACAGAGGTGAATAAAATTAAAATTTGGCCTATAGCTTTTAAACAGTATATGTTGGATCTTTTTAGAGATTTATTTGTAAAAAAAAAACCTCCTTGTAAAATGAAAAGAGGATTTTTATAGAAGAGAAGCATTTCTATCAAGAGGCCTTAAATAATAGTGACCTCAGGTTTTGGAACCACTCCCCCAAACACGTGATTATTCTCTAATTCTTTGCCTGAGCAAATCACCATTTTAATTAGACTCCGAGGCAAGTAACATTGTGTCCATGGTAACAGGTATAAAAAGAACTTTTTTTAAAAAAGGAAAAAAAAAGAAAAAATGTGATAACTGAAAATGTGTTTAAATCATGATAAAAGGATTTAAACAGATGTTATTTTTTTCAAAGTGTTATTTTAAAAAAAGAATTTTAAAGGGCTCTTGATATGAGAAAAAAACCATATTTGGATGCATCTTCAGGGGAAATTTCTTACTCCTAAAGGCTGTAGTTCATGATTGCCATGAGTTGGGTTAGAGGTAAATGAAAGAGATTCCAGAGGGGAGAAATCAGTAAGGAATACCAATGTATTTTTGGTTATGAGTGACAATTTAAGTGAAAGTGTCTTCAATGTTATTTAACAAATTGTGTGTGCACCATTACTTTTTATTAAAGTTTGTGTTCAGAAAAGAGACAGTGCAGGACTTGACTTTTGGAGAGGAGTTGGAATGTTGCTTAGAAACTTCAGTGAAAGGCAGAGGAGAGAACACTGCTTCCTTACATAGTAGATACACTTTCTACAGGTTTAGGGAGTGACTACCATGCCAAATGCCTTTTATTTTTTTCTTTTGTGTTACTGTGAACTTGACCTTCTATCTCTCTATCTCTTTCTTTTTTTTGGGGGGGGGCACCAGGACCAATAATCACTAGCTGCCCAGGTACCAAAAATTTATGCTTCTGAAATCTCTTGATGTTGATTCTGCACATAGAGCCATCAAGCTGCCCTGTGTACGTCTCATGACAGAAGCCCCTTTTTTCACCTTCTCTATTTTATATGTATATATGTACTTTTAAAAGTACATACATTATTTGTTCATTTGTTTACTTAGTTATTTTAATAGAAATGGAAATGGGCAAGGGATTTTTCCTTTCCTAACAACCCAAAGCTTTCAGGATCATTATGAACAAGGACAGAGTGAGAGAAGGCTTGTTCTTTCTCATGTTCATTTTTCTGTTTTTCTGCCAACGATTGCCTTCTTTAGGAATAGTGATTCTGTGACTTTGTTTCAGAAAGAGTTATAACTCCTGAAAGTTAAATGTCCCTCAGAGGGCCCAGGCACGTTCCATGGAACTAAGTGAAGGGTAAAGTTATAAGAAGAAACCCAGAGAGAGTAGGAGGAAAGAAGACTTTGGACCTGGCAAAAGGATGGCTTATTTTGGCTAGACTCCTCCTGTAGTTTAAATACCAAATGATTGAAAGCAAATTGGATGTTAAGGAAGGCGGGAGTGCCCCTGTAAAGAAAAATAAACACCCAGTGACCCTAAGTTGGTCTTGGAGGAAATCAAACCTCTTGTTTTGCCTCAAATGTTGAAAGAACCTAAATATTTCTTTGTGTACAGCATAATTTTTAGTTCTTTGGATTTTTCTAAATAAACTGGTTATCTGAAAAAAAATACCAGTTGGTGGAGGTAAAATCTGAGGAGCAAGAGAATGTGGGAAAATTGAATGTAAAAAAGCAGAACTTAAAATACTTTATTATAAAAACATATTGCTAACATACACTATTACATTAGTATTAATGTTACCCCATTTCAATTTGTCTAAAAGCATAATTGTATGTATTGTTAAAACATTAGTAATAAAAGGAGGATCTTTTCTCAAAGGAATATTATTTACAGAATATTAATAGGTGTCCCATGAGGATAAGGAATCCATAGTTACATATGTTTACAGAAATGATGGGTTAAATAAAGTTAATCTTTTTTAATGAAAAAAATTTCAAGAATTTTATCTATTATTATTAATCTCTAAATGACCATTTCTTCAAGATTTTCCAAATGAATTGTTCATAGAGTCTTATTTTTTACAGTATCTTTTGAGAAAACTGTAACATAAGATGGGAAACACTGACAAATAGAAGGTGCTTTGGTTTAAAAGGTTGCTGCTCAAAGATGACATCCCTTTGAAATGAATGCTAGTTACAGTTTTGTACCCTTTCTAGGCCAAGCCCTGTACAACAGCTTGCTTTATTGTTGGGACAACTCCATGAAATACACGTACATATCTGCAGTTAGTGGCTAAAACCAAGATCCAGAAAGGCTAAATGTTTTCTCTAGTTCATGCAGCTAACAGAAAAGATGAAGCTAACGCTTGAAACAGCTTTGTTTTTCTTGTAGGCTGTGTTCTTTCAGAGATGATAAGCAACCTACTGACTTATTTTTTTCAAATTTAAGATTTGATCAGGGTCCAGACATGCAATGTGAAAGCAAAAATACATTTTTTAGAGAACAGAGTAATTAGTATGTCTCTTCATAATTTCAGAGGTGCCAGAAAGCTCTCGCTCCTCAAAATACCTGCTCAAGACAACTACATAATGCAAAAATTAGAAATACAATTATTTTGCTTAAAAATATTTCCTTCAGCTCCACCAGACTTGCTTTCCATCAGTAAAGGTCTGATATCATTTTTTTTCTGTTCAGTAAATGTGTTATTGGGCATCCCTGTGACAACCAAAAACAATTTTATTTTCATAGTTAAAAATATAAATATTCTTGCATATATTTTAAAGATGTTTCAACACTTTATAGACATTTTCAAGTGTGGCTAAAAAACAGCATTGCTTCGAGAAAACTTAAAAAAATGAAACAAACAAAGCTAGACACCTCACAAACTAGACTTTCTTAAATATCTAACATTGGAATTCAGGCATTTTTATTATTTTTTTAAAGTTGCCAGGTAATTTAGGTAATTATTACTTTATCAACATTTTAATTTCTCAGTATAAATGGACCCATGAGAAAGATATTATAATAGCACAGGGGGGAAAATATACTGGGAGTCACAGGACTTAAGCTGCAATCCTACCCTCTCCACAAAACCTCTGTTAAGAACTTAAATGGCATACATCATCTCCCTGGGCTTCAACATCCCTCTTTCATGCTGGGGATACTAACCTTCCTCAAAACATGATTGTTGTTATTAAAAGATACAATGGATGCAAAGAGCAATTTGTACATTGTATACTTGCCATTTCACCTTCCCTCTTGAGAGTCCAACTTCATTCTTGGTTGCACATGAAAGTGTTAAGGTGCCAATTGTTTCCATTGGGGGCTGACAGGCTGATACCAAAGGGAAGGGAGCAAAGCTAGTAACAGGAGCTGCCTGGAATTTATCTTTTGCTCTTTCCATGTTTGTAATTCCTCCATGGGTCTTCTTTCTCAGAATAGGAGTTATAGGTGCATTCGAGACACTCGAGCTACAGGTGCTTCTCTCACCTCTTCCTGACAGGTTCTGGATCAGTTTAGCTTGTTTAGCATTTTCTATTGGTAGTTAGCACTACTTAAAATAAGGTTAAGTCAGGACCAGACCATGCTCAAAGTTGTATCCACACGCTCGATTACTTGATATTTAGATATACTAACTCCAGAACATGAGTTTGATAAATAATGGGACTCTAGTGTATTGTACTATATCAAGAATTTGGGGAAAAGTCATAAAAAAGAATGTCTTGTTAAAGGTGAGATCATGTGGTCTTTGTCTTTCACCACCTGGCTTATTTCACTCAGCATAATGCTTTCCAGTTCCATCCATGCTCTTTCAAAGAGTAGGAGCTCCTTCTTTCTTTCTGCTGCATAGAATTCCATTGTGTAAATGTGCCATAGTTTTTTGATCCACTCATTTAATGATGGGCACCTAAGTTGCTTCTAACACTTGGCTATTGTAAATTGTGCAGCTCACCTTTAATAGGAACCTAATCAACAAAACAAACAAACAAACAAAATATAACCCAGGACACTGAAATTGAGAATAGGCTGGCAGTGATCAGAGGGGAGAGGGGAGGGAATTTCAGGGGAAAAGGGTAAACAGTTTGCAGGAACAAATATAAAGGACACATGGACAATAACAAGGGGAAGGGTGGAAATGGGAGGGAGGTAGGGAGGGTTCAGGGGTTGGGCTGGGCTGGGGTAAAACACAGAAAACTGTACTTGAACAACAATTAAAATAAAAATAAAAAATAAAATAAAAACAAAAAATAAAAAGAAGGTCTTAAAGCAAATCCTTTTTAGGAGTAAACATGTCTCAAAGGCAAATAAATGAAAATAATATTTGAATATAAAAATAGAGATCACATATTTTAATTGAGTGGCCAATTTATTTGCCAAATAGATATAATGCCATATAGAAACTTAGATTCATTTTCCTTTTGATTGGCTGATTTTCTGGGCACATTGACTTGAATCAACCCTGAAACCCTAAACCATTCACATCACATTAAGTAGCCTGCTTCTGAAGATTTGCATTAATTGCTTTATTTTAAGATATTTTTTCTACTTGCATATTAAATGTTTTTCAGTTTTCAAGTGCAACATCTCCTTCATATAATACTGTGAGATAGTACCAAAGTGCTATTAAAGGAAAACAATGTGTTTTCACATAAAATGAAAGGATCTAAATCACTGTAATATATATTTTAAAACCCAAATTAATTTCTTTTTGCTTCTCTAATGGCTGAAACACTTTAAAATTGTTCCCAAACTTAGTGATATCACAAATTTGTTATTATAAGGAGAGCCCCCAAAATAATTTTTGTAACTTTTTTGTTTTACATTTTTATGAGTTGCTTCTATAAGATTTGCATATGAGTTAAAAGACAATGAAAAAATCATCTTCAACAAAACTGAAAAATCCTGGATAACCACAACATAAAAAGTTACTATACCAACCCCCCCAAAATTATCAGCCAAATTCTATTCCGCTCATTATCCAGTCCTTCCCTCTTAAAAGAAACCCGCACCATCCAGAAGTTGCTTTATATGAAATTGCCAGTATTAACCATTTTTATCCTCAAAAGTGGCAGTTCCTTATGGTTCCATTAAATATTGTCAGACATATAACAGCAGATAATCAAGTTATTACCAAATCAAGTCATTTTTGAAGGTTTGGGGTGTTCTGAAGACTGACGATGACTGTGCATAGTGCTAACACTTACAAAACCATACAGCTCTTATAGAACCCCAATTTTTTCTATTCACTAAGAAATTGTGACAAAAATGCCTGCTTAAATCTCTCACAAGTTGCTACAAAAATAAACATATTTTAATGATCATTAACATCAGTATTATCCTTTGATGATATCAATTGTTATCAAGAAGTTTTGAGATATGGGATATTGAGATAATTCCAGTAGCATATTTCTCAGTCCTGAACTGAAGTTCTAAACTTAGAGTCAATATTTAGCATCTGGGAAAAATAGCATAATCTCCTAGTGAAAGTAAATTGCAGTGTTAAAAAATTCAGTAAATTCAAAATGTTGGTAAAATGTATTATAATTGCATATGTTATCATTGTTCACTGAAGCAGCCCATTCTATGTGTTAGTAACTCAAATATGAGGTGGGCAGAAAGAGTAGTCACTGAGATTTTAGAGAAAGCCTGGACCTCTTCACCACCCTTTGAAATCTTCCCTTCAGTAGTTACATTGCTTCACTGTATGAATCATCCCAAAGCAGAATATCTATATTAAAGCATGCTTCTCTGCAAAGGTTAATTTTATTCCATACGTTAAACTCTGCAGCATAAATAAATAATAATAAATAAATATTTGAGTAAGAATTAGAAAAAAACTATAGGCCCTTTTCATTGTCTCACTTCCTTCTTCCTTTTGTTCTCCCTCATCCTCTATAACTCCGATGTTCTTGTGACACACAGAGTTACTTACCGTTGGCATTTAATTGTCATGGCATGTGGGCAGGAGGGATAGCTCAGTGAAATAAGCTTTCTATTTTTCATTTTAAAAGAAGTATTATTGTAGTAAG